CGTAATAGAAAATGGTAACTTGTTTATTCAAAACCAAATATAGTAGTTACATTTAGATCATTCACGTTGGAGTAGCTCTGCTAGCTTGAGTCTGATATTCTTTTTAGAGAGAAGTAGGTTATCCGCTTGTGGATCAGTTTCTTTATTCTGATGTTTTTTGCATCTGGTGTTGAAATTTGCTAAACTGGAAAGATTTTTACTGATATTTTTTTTTTCCTTTTTTGAATAGTGGTTATGATGCAAAATCTCTGCAACCATATCAAGTAGATTTTTTTACACCCGGGAGCAGCTACTTAACATCTCTAGTGTTGAAATAATACATCAACTAATTTGGAGCAACAAGAGTGAGGAACAGGAAATTTAAGCCATATCTTCCATATTTCATCATGGATAATGTCAGATCTTTTGCGAACAAGTTAAAACAACTGGCTTAGAGAAGAGCTGGAGAAAACTTGGAAGGTCAAGGCATCAGTGGTACCCTTGGTCATTGGGGCACTCTGGACAGTGACCCCACAACTTGAAGAGTGGTTACAGCAGATCCCTGGAAATACATCAGATATCTCGGTCCAGTGCAGTCCAGGAGCAGCAAAGATACTGCGGAGAACCCTCAAGCTTCCAGGCCTCTGGTAGAGGGCCTGAGCTTGGAGGAAATAGGGGAAGAAGACCACCCGTGTATATATATATATATATATATATATAATTCACTAGGTCCATTAGACACATTAGGTGTTAAAATCAAACATTGCATGCCCGGTCGACGATGATCTTATTAAGGAATGATCGGCACTATTTCACAGAGAATATAACAGCAGCAAATGTATATATGCACATGTGTGTGTACTTTCAAGCCATGCCAGGGGGATGTAGGGGTATGGGATCAGAGATTGTCTGAATGATTGAAGTCTAAATTTTACTTTTAAAAATCCAATACCAAAAACGGCCATAAGATGGCAAAAGTGCATCTATATCTACCACTTGCTTGTACCACATTGCTTTTGATATCCAGTTTTACTGCTAAGCGTTGTGTTCAGCGAGAAAAGCACACACCCTTATTTTTAACTCGCATACACGGTCAGGAATTGACACTAGTACATCAGCTATTGCCGTAGCTTAGGGTGACCAGAGGTCATCTTTATACCAGACATGTCCTACTTTTCAGACCTAAAAAATTGTCTGGGGGGAATTACAAAATCATCCCAGAGTTTGGTCGATTACAGTGCAGCACCTGGTCAAAACACACCGGGCACTCAAACAGAGCCGTCAGCTCCTGGAACCCCGGCGGACGAGGGCAGGGAGTTTTTATGTAAGAAATGTAGGACATGTCCAGGAAAAAGAGAACGTCTGGTCACCCTACCATATCAACAATTTCGATGTTTCAGTGAATTAGTGCTTGTTGCTATGATACGTCTTTGCTCAGCTTAGCAGCCTGCTCATTGTAAACCAACCAATCAGTGCACAGCTCATCTAAATATTCATGAGCATACCATAAAAGGAAGAAAACCTGGAATTTCATTCAAGGCATTTTAACCAGGCTTGCATTAGGGATCATAAAACAGCAAATATGCCATTTTCAGCCCAACCAAAGTTACACACCCTATTCAGAGACCTTAAGGACCAACAACAAATACCTTATATAATCATTCTATGACTCCTTTAAAATATAGTGGATTGAAAGTTAGAAGTACCCATCGATCCATCCATTTTCTGTCACGCTTATCCCGAGCGGGGTCACAAGTGGTGCTGGTGCCAGTCTGGTGCTAGTCTCCAGCTGTCTACGGACGAGAGGTGGGGTACATCCTGGACAGGTGGCCAGTCCATTGCAGGGTGCATTTGTAGCAGTGACTGATAATTTTAGTCATCCCTAACTCTGCTACACTGCTAACTTTCCAACATATTTTTAACTGCTGTACCAGAGAAAACAAACTGACTAATTTGTTTGCAAATATCAAGGACTCCTCTCTCTAAAGTAAGACCCACTCTTTGAAATCAGATCAAAATCTTGTGTTTTTTCTGCTCAGAATGCAGGCAGCTGTATAAAAAAAAAAACATCCATGATAAAATAACTGTAAGAATATGTCACAGAAGATTTAAGAAGCCTTGCAATATTGTTTTTAGGCTACAGACTGGGATGCACTGTGTCATCCACATGGAGAGGATATCAATGCAATGGCTGTGTGACTGACTACATAAACTTCTGTGTAGATAACATCATTCCTACAGAACAGTGTGCTTTCCAAATAATAAACCATAGATCACAAGTGATTTGAAGGAAATTCTTAATAAGAATAAAATCCAGCCTTCAAGAAACGAGACCAGGAATTAATGAGGAGTATATGAAAGCAACTTAAGGTCAAGATAAGACAAGTCAAAGAGGCATACAGGAAGAGGCTGGTAAACAAGCTACAGCAGAAAGATATCAGAGATGTGTGGTCAAGGAGGAAGAAGAGCACATGCTTCAAGCAGAAGTATGATCAGATAGATGGAAGTCTGGAAAGAGCCAGTGAACACATTCTTTAACAGGTTCAGTTCAGGAATAAGCTCAGCATCCCTCTCTATAATCCACAGTCACATGGACATCCTTCCCTCCTGTACCATTTACTCTACCACTTCTGAGTTTGTTCTCAGCCAAATCAGAATTTGGTGCTGCTCCCTCCCACTTCATTACACAATACAATGAGGTAAATGAGGAGAAATCCATGGCTCCAGCCATATCAAAATATTACACAGTACTACAGATCAAGGACATCGCTCTTTCCATTCCCAAATCTTTGCCATGTACATAATGAAGATCACTTTTTATCCTGACAGGGGAACTGTCCTAATTAGATAAACTACTTGGGAAAATATTAGTTTTGACACACAACAGGCAGATATTAGGTTTTAACAGACTCATACAGCATCAATAAAGATAATCATAACATCAGCAAAAAAAACAAGCAAAAGACCCCCTGCAGTTTAATTTTTGCCATGGAGTTGAAGTTGATACTTCAACAACTTCAACAAACCCACTGATATTTATATACAGCAAGGCAGACAGCATGATGAGGATCATGTTCTTGGATTTCTCCATTGCATTTAATGCAATTCAGCCTGACTTACTTTGTCAGAAACTGCAGAGGACTCAGGTGGAGGCATCAACAACCAACTAGATCAAAGACTACTGTACCTCACAAACAGACCGCAATTTGTTAGATTGAATCAATCAGCCAGCAGCACAGGAGAACCACAGGGGACAGTACTCTAACCATACCTTTTTGCTCTTTTCGGTTGAACCAGGGCTATCAAAATCTGACATACGAGTCTGACATATGATCCTACTTGTTGGGTAGCAGGTTGAGCTGCATATATGAAGGTGTTTTAAGGTGAACTCTGAATTCTGATTGGATTACGAGGATGTGCGGTTCAATGCTCGCTTACTGCTTCCCAGATGGATGAGACTCTGATGCATGATGATAATGGTCCAGTTTTGAATTCCAGTTGAATTTAAGCCTATAGGCTTCATTTCATAGAGTGCTAATAAATGTGAATAAAATAAAATAATCCATAAGCATATGTGTAGGAAAACTTACCAGGAACACTTCATTTGGATGTGATTAAACTGATTTCAGATAATAAAATCAAAAATCTTGGTGTTATTTTTGATCAGGACCTGTCATTTAAATCCCATGTCAAAGAGGTTTCTAGAATTTCCTTCTTTCATCTGTCGAGTATTGGAAAAAAATAGAAATATCCTGTCCAGAGATGACACTGAGAAACTAGTCCATGCATTTGTTACTTCAAGGCTGGACTATTGTAATTTTTTACTATCAGGAAGTCCACAAACTTTAGTTAAAAGCCTTCAGCTGATCCAAAATGCTGCAGCCAGAATTCTGATGAAAATTAAAAAGAGAGATCATATCTCTCCTATTCTAGCTTCTCTTCACTGGTTTCCTGTTAAATCCAGAATACAATTTGAAATCCTCCTTCTCACATATAAATCCTTATATGGCCAAGCTCCTTATGTTCCTTATGTCCCTAACAGAGCATTTCGCTCTCAATCTGCGGGTTTAGTGCGTTTAGTCCTAGTGGTTCCTGGAATTTCTAAAAGTAGAATGGGAGGCAGATCTTTTAGTTATCAGGCTCCTCTCCTGTGGAACCACCTACCAGTTTTAGTCCGTGAGGCAGACACCCTGTCTACTTTTAGGACTAGGCTGAAAACTTTCCTTTTTGATAAAGCTTATAGTTAAAATGGCTCAGGATATCCTAAGCTATTCTCCCACTCTGCAGAATCTGTTCTCTAATCTCTAATGTTATGCTCTCTCTTCTTTTCTCATAGTAGCTTTGCCTCGTCTGTTCCTGTTTGGCTGTGACGCCATCCTGGAGAGAAATATCAGCTGTGCTGCTGCCGTCAACACCTTTGTTTATAGATGTTGGAGATCAACCTATTTTTAAGTGTAGTCATGTTTCTCTGACTGTGACTGGCTGGATGTGCTCTCTTCGTCCTCTGGCATGGGAGCTGGCTCAGAGCTTGTCTGCCTGGCTGTGTGTTTCCTGGACGGGGCCACCTTTTACAGCTGCTTTTTGTGTCTCTACTTCTGTCTCCTTGAACCCCAGTCGGCCTTGACAGATGGCCGCTCACACTGAGCCTGGTTCTGCTGGAGGTTTCTTCCTGTTAAAAGGGAGTTTTTCTTCTCCACTGTCGCTACAAGCATGCCTAGTGTGAAGGATTGCCTTCAAATCAATGAGTCAATGCAATCAGCTGGTTTTCCTTAGATAAAAAAAACCTTGAATCAATTTGACTGTATGATCTGGTGAACTGTACAGTGGCTTGGGATGACATGTGTTGTGAATTGGCACTTTATAAACTGAACTGAATTGAATTGACAAACATTTAAGGTTAGTGCAGTCAAAATAACAAGGCTGAGCACATATTTAATGGCTTCTCCGGTGTATGCAATAACAGACGAGCAACAAGTGGTTCTTGTGTTTGACTTTACTGTAGGTAGAAATTAGGGACTTACCTCTAATTTAGATTAAATTAACTTGAAACATGTACCATGTATGGCGACGTCCTGCCAACTTGGGGATGCCGGTGTAGGCAGATGGTGGCAGACTTTTTCTCAAAAAATTCAACTCTCAGATTTTGAATTCTGGATAATATTTTTTTTTTAAGTTATGTAACAATATCTATGTTTCCATAGTCAACTTGATCAGATTCCTTTGATCTACTGTAGCAAACTTTGCCTTTTCCAAATGAAGAAGCGCAAAATATCAGAAGTGAATCTGGAGAAAAAAAAAGAAAAAAAGAGGAGAAAACATGTCAGTATGTTTTGGTTTTTATCCTATTTCCAATACGAAAGGTGAAAAAGAGATGTAAACTTAGATAAAAGCAAATAAACCTAAACAAGGGACTTATTGGTTATTAACTTATATTAGAAGTTATCTTCTGCCCAATATTCACACATTTCTGTAACAAATTACCATAGCAGTTTTAGCCCACAACTTGTCTAATTATGTATTCAGTAAATGTCGCTGTATGGTGCATGGAAGACAGCAAGGACTGCTTTAGCTTTGAGAAAAGCTCACAGCAGGAAGATTTTATGACTGCTGACAAGTAAGGTCATTTATTATTTATTAATTCATTTGACAACAGATGTTATTAATTTACCTTTCATGTGAATTTTGGAACCACACTGGACAATTGTGATAAAAAAAAAAAAAAAAAACACACCAGACTTGAACATTCTGAGCAACAAAAAGAATTTGTTTTGTCAAACAAAATTGGGATACAGCATAAAACTATATTGCCATATCTGTTTTGTATATATATGTTTAGCTCCTGATATGTTAAACAATGTGTTAGTACCATATGACTGAATATAGAACAATAACATTCCATTCAAGGATAAAAGCCCAGTCAATGATGTAATACATGTATTATAAATCATGATATTTTCTTCCCCACTGATATTTTCAAGCTCTGGGGTGGCTACAAAAATCAGGCTCAGAAGTATTTTATGTGCAATAATAAGTACATTGTGACCTTTTTTTTTTTTTTT